AAGTATTTATGAGCAGGCACCACTAATAAAAATGCTTTGAGATTCTGTGAGTATGATGGAATAGATTATACAAAGTGTCTGAAAAAAAAGGCAAGTGCTACACTTGTCCTGTGCGAGGAAGGAAATTCATGGAGTGAAAGAAAGCAAACAAAGCTAGTCAAGGGCAGTGGGTTTATCTTCTGATTCTTCCCAGATGATCATATTCTCTAAGTAGATCTTTTCACTGAAGCACGCTGAGCAGCCCTGTAATAGACGGTCAGTGTTCTTTTTTTAGGATCCTTTAATGTCTTCTAGATTTCTTTACCCTGTTTGCTTATGGCATTTTTTGAAAGGTTGTGTTTTATTTAAATAGCTTTTTTCTTCAAATGATCTAAAGAAAACTAAGTGCACTAGGTTAATAAAGTTTTCTTACTTCATTTTAGAATGTGCTGCCTAACTCTCTTCAATAAATTTTCTTCTCCAATGAAAAGTTCTTACATTTCTGTATTACCCAGAATAGAAATAATGGATGACATGTAAAAAAAGAAATAAAACTTTTATCCAAAATCACATATTTTTGTCATGATAGTCTGGTTCCAGCATCTTCAAGAACATAACTAAAATGGCGCCTTTCACACCACCTACTACTTTATTCTGTCTCTGATACTCAAAAAGTCATACACAGTGTTCAGGACCAGGTTGGACGAGGCCTTGGGTGATATAGTTTAGTGTGAGGTGTCCCTGCCCATGGCAGGGGGGTTGGAACTTGATCTTAAGGTCCTTTCCAACCCTAACTCTTCTATGATTCTAAGTTAGAGTGACCTCAGGAGCTGTCCTGTGAAACACTTACACACTAGGGAATACAGGGTTTTGCATTCCCCTTCTCTGTTCCTTACCTCGTCACTAGATATTTTAAACTTTCTTATTCACAGTAAAGAAATTTAACCAAGAAATTGTCTGAAAATTATGAATTTAAGTTTTCCCAGCTTTAAGAATTAATTTGTATCTCATCTTGATACAGAAAAGCAAGCAAACACAAATCCAAAAGGAGGAAGTTTGAAACCAATTTTCTAAACATTTCTAGCACTTTATGGGTAAGAAAACAAGACCCAAGGAAAGTCTGCTGGAGAATTGGAAAGGTTTTAATACATGGTTTGTGTTGCCATCCTATTGGCCTTTTTTGAAAGTCATCTATTTGAAAATTATGTCTTCTTAGAGGTCCTTCCCAAAAAATTTCACTGTTGTTCTGTCTCGTTCATCTTTCCAAAACTGGGACCTATTAAGCATCTTATTATACAGCTTTGAAATTACATATGTTGTCTTACAGTAATTGTCTAACATTGATTTGAGCTACATACCACAAGATGCACAATACATTAGAATTTATTATTGTTGAATGATTGCTCGTGTACATACCAGTTTAATAGAAGCTTCTGGAAAGCTTAGCTGCAGCATTTCCAGTCTGCACCATAGAAAGGGAAACAGAGTACAGTATAAACTCTTCCTCTTGCTGTACATGTTACACTCATGGTATGCCTTCAGCCACTGCATCTTTGTTTTGGCTTCCACTCCTGCTATGTCAAAGGAGTCAAAATTAGACATGGGTGTGTTCATGTGTAGATTTAAGTGCACAGCATCTCTGAAAATCAGGTGAATATTTAAATATTAGATATTAAGTTAGGGTTATAAATTCAGCTTCCTATAAAACACTGGGTTTGTTACACCAGAGTTCTACACTACGTAATTGGTAGGATCTTACTTTTTTAGTAGCTAAAATGAAACAAAATGTTCCTGTGTACATAGGAAAGGTTCAAGAATATTAAGCTCTCAATCTATAGAAAATAGTGTTCTGGTGGACTGTGACAGGCAAAGCATTAATTTTGGCATTTGGCTAGAAAAAACATCTACCACGACTTTTCATCTCAGGCTATGAGGTAAAGCAGGAAGTGAGAACAGCTTGAGATAAATCACTGTGCTTTATGGTTGCACAGATGGAGACCTCAAGGATGCACTGAGCTTAAGCCATGTAGATACAAGGCTCATCTTCACCTGGGGATCAAGGTTTCCTTTTCTGTCTGATACACAATAACAGTATTATTATAGCAGGCAGCAGAATAGTCTTTTTATGCTGAGCTTTGTCACACGGTTTATATTTATAAATAGAAGTATTTAAAGTGTTTGTCAAGTTAATCGTTGCTGGCAAGTCAGGTGAATCAGGTGCTCTACTTGAACCCTGCCACAAGCAAGAAAGTTGAGAGATGGTTAAACCAGTGTAGGTGCTTTTTTGCATTGTTTTGAAACAGAACTGTGTCTGAGGATATTGTAGGTATGCGATGCCTACTTCTAGGTCTCATTTTCTGGGAAAAGGCCATGGGTTATATTCTAAAACTTCATGGTTCTGACCTGCTGAAATACTAGCAGTAGGTGGATATCTCAAATATGCTATTCACTTGCATTTGCTTTTCCATTCCTTGTGTGGTCCTGACCATGCTTGGTAACAATTGTCACACAAGTGCCAATCATCATCATCATCACCACTGTTCCTAACCAAAATGTTCCTAAGTTTTCTTCAGTGTTCTTTTGAATACTACTGACGCCACTGTTCTCCATTTCTAAGGAGTTTGAAATAGGAAATTTGGTGAGTTTTCCTATGGCACAAAGCCTCTACTGGAGTGACAGAATAGCTCCCCAGTTTGTATTTTCACTCTCATTCCTTGTCTTTGACAAAAGCTCTTTGCAGTAAGCATTTCAATGCTGATCATTATAAGCATGGTTTCCAGTGTCTTCAATCTGAAAGTGAAGCTTTGACGTGTTTTAAAGGAACAAGTTTCATATACTCTTGGTGTTCTTTTATCCTTTTCCCACCAACAGAAAGGAGTAGTGTCCAGCCAGCTACTGCAGCCTATGTTCTTAAAAAGGAACGTCCAGTGTGTCCAAAAAAGGTACTTGCAACTTTGTTGAGGAGAGGCTGCTGGAGCATGCAAAAAAAGCTTGTCTTGCTAGGACACCTTACCCAGGTTTTGAACCCCTCTTTGCAGCTAGCCGGTGGATATAGGAAGATGAGAATGATAGCTGGATGAGCTGCCCCCCATAGCTATCATCTGCACTGGGGCTCAGTGGCCTTAAATGAACTACAAGGCCAGCAGCTGGCTATCCCTTTTGTGAAGCATGGCCAATTCTGACATACTTGTTCTGAACACTTGAAACGCCAAGCAAAGCTCTAAGTCCTACTATTACCCATGAAGTACACAGATACTGGCTATTGCAGAGTCTTGTCTGTGACATGAGGCAAGCGCTGTCTTCCCCACATGCTTTTTTCTGTCTCCTTCAGAAAAAAAACATTACTGCTGTTTGCATGTAAGCCTTTTATGATTTCCTATTTAATTCTCTCCTGAATAAAATAAAGCTAGATGAATACAGCAGTGGTGAGAGGAGTTCCATATCCTCTGCTCACAGAAGTAATTAATATAGTCAGGATCTTATAGTCTGCACCAGTGCCATTAAATTTGTTGTTTTCAGGTGGCAGGTAAATCTTGGATCACAGTATTTCTGTAAAAAAATGCATGTGCTCTGGTTGTACAGACTGCAGTATAAAAAGAACTTGAATCAGTTTCTTTTAATTCTTTATCCTTTATTCTTTATATCCTGCACCCCTGTATATTTGTTCTATGTACAGTGTGCTCCTAAAAATAGTAATTAGTTTATTAACTTGCTTCTCAAACAAAAAAGGAATTTTTTGCATTTATTTCTATCTGAGTATATCATAACATAATGAAGTGAGAGGAGGATGTAAAACTCAGCAGCCAAGCAACAACAGAATAGCAAAGGAACTAGGAAATCTGTTCTAGCAGGACTGAGGAGTCAGTGGAGTGCAGGAACAGGAGAGAACTTTGAAACTCAGTCACCTTACCCATAGTTAACAATGTAATATTTTATTCTGCGCTCTAAAACGATTAGCACTTTCATAATCAAATCCACAGACCGTAACGAGCTGTCAGTGGCAGAGTACCATGGGATTTTTCTATCAAGAGATCCTTGCTTTGTGAAAATTATAGAGGCTCCTCTCAGAAAGGTGTGAAATGTTGCATGTTCTAAAACATTTTCTAAGCCCTTGTAGATTTTGTTAGTGATTCAACAAACCTGAGATTTTTATATTCCTTTCTTTAGTGTTTTAGTACCGACTAAATATGTGTTTAATGTGTCAGCAGTGACCAAAGGGAGTTTACTGTGGATTTGAAGAATTGTGAAATTAAAGGATTTGTCAGGTGTCCTGGGTTCAGCAGTAGCAGTCATTTTTAAACCACGACATCAGGTTACTGAGTTCTATGTGTATTTTCATTTGGTTATAAAGTGGAATTAGTGCCTAACTAGCTGGGTTCTGTTAAGGGTTAATACTTCAGCATTTTGTTTTGATTTAGGTTTTGGTAATTTCAAACATGCAAGACTTTGGGTTATGTCAGCTTTACAGACCATGGAGATTCATGTTTAACCTGTGAACAGTCCAGAGGAGTCTTGTAAACTAAGGACAAACATGACGGTAGTAAAAGCTATGTTAAAGGCAAAAGAAGTGATTCTGAAAGTAAGAAATGTTGAATCCTGTGTTTATGAGAGTAGGGTGTCTTTCTTAGTGTGACAGAAACTGTAAGGAAAAGCAGCTGAAATAGCTGGTAGGAGAATATCTGGCTTCTAAAAAAAAGTCATCACTGACAAGTTTCTTTGCTAAGGTCTGTAAGATTAGTCTATTTGAGTTGTTCTCTTGAAAAAGCACAGGATACTGAAATCTAACCAAATGCTTACTTAAAAGTCTTTTGAAAAAACTCAAGTAGACTTAAGCAACTAATAAGCTACAATAGAAACATAGGGCCAATAATTTGCAATCTGTACTGAGTATCTTTGAGCAAGGGGTGCTACCCAATAATTAATTTTCTTTTTGTAATTTCAAAATAAGATGTTTTTGCAAATATTAATTTCTTTTAATTTTTGAAAGTAATTTTGGTGTCTCTTTTTACTGTTGCTTGCAGTGAAGATGGCTTTTCTTCCCCGGATTTTGCTTCTATTTTCTTAAATGTCTTTCCTGAGCCGTGGTTGCTTGCTGCTGTGAAACCAGCAGAGGGTGCACAGAACATACATATTCGTGGCTGTTTCTTCACAGTCCACTGTGGTGCTGACATGTGGAAACCAGGTAGCTGTCCTCTTAAGTCCTATTCAGGTGAGCTACCATGAGATTTGAATATGATTCTCAAAATAATCCACTGTTGTGCTTTAGCGCACTGTTTTCCATCCGATTCATGTGTGTACACGTTAACTGGGGGTAGTTCTTCCCCTGTATTGTATGCTAGGCTCAGAGTAATGTACAAGTTCCTACTCACCTGGCCTTTAAACGCTTGCTGTAATTAACAGGGATTATACAGTCATAATTTTCACACCTCAAAGCCTACTTTAAAGAATGCTGGTGAATCGTAGTTGTTTATCACCATGATATTTTATGAGAAAGGTCTGTGGAAGCAGATTGTTAGGTATTTTTTTTTTTTTGACGGACCACAACAAAACCACTCCTGATGCTAAACTGCATTAGCACACAGAGGCTCTGCTGATGGCTGCCACCCTCCCACCCCCCTCCCACCAGCAAGCCTTGCCTGCTAATTCCCAATTTCTATCTAATCTGGCCTGTTACAAAATACCTCATGGACTTGGATAACTTTTGAAAGTTTGTCTCCTTTTACAAGTCCTGGGCTCCTTTTTGTCAGAGTGTTTCTGCTTTGCTTGATCCTGAAGTGTTTTTACTTTATACATCAGAGAAGCATGGTCAGGAGGCCTCAGTTAATAAATGTAGCTGAGGAAATTTGCGTTTCATTATCTTTAGAATTTTTTTTTTTTTTTTTGCATGTAGAAATGCTCTATTTAACTACCATTTAGTAAGTTTTATTCTTTTGAGTGCACTTTTAACTGTGTAGTGTATCATGGCTGGAAGGGGATCAGCCAAGTATGCCTCTGGAAAGAACTGGATAAAAAACTTTTACCTAAACCCACCTGCTCTAGTGGTGGGGGTTAGGATTTGTAGCTTTGTAGATTTATGACAGCTTTTAGTGGGACAGTTTTGATCCTATCTATAATCTTTTGCAAATTAATCTGATATATTTACGTAGACCCTTAATGATACTGGTTTTCTTTGTAGAGTAACTTTTATGGGCTTGCATGTATTTAGAATAATTTATCTGATCCTTCTCTGGACAGGATTGTAGGAGTGTTCTGACCCAGTAAAATATTATAAAACTTGTTTCCAGATAGGAATGTTGTAAATATGTTCATATGTTTTTGATATTTGCGGATAATGTGACTGGTGAGATGTATGTTTCAGTAGATAGGTATTTCCGTTGTTTTAGACTGCTTGTTTTGTCTTATTATCAACTGTGTAGGAAGTCAGTGTGCTGACAGAGGTAATGGAGTACTACTCCAGAGGAGATCAGCAGCTCCCAATAACAGGCTGCCTTCAAATCCTCTCTCTCTGACAGGGATTCCCTTTTCCTGGCAGTTATCTCCTGCCTCCTGGCAGGGCTTGCGGGTGTCTGACTGTTCCTTGAGAGTGAGAACTGTTGTAGCGCTTGTCTGTGCAGTCCCATTTATATCTCAGTTTTGATGTCCATGTGCATATCCTACCAATTGCAACAGTTCAGAAATGGGAAAGTAGCTGAAATCTTCCATTTTCAGCTATAAACAGACTCTAACATCAGTCCTGTGAGAAATACTATGAATGCTCTAAAATTTTTTTGCATGGTGGTTTGGTCCTTTATATAATGAAGTCTAATGAATAATACAGACCTTTGGCTTTAACCACTTATAAAGTTGATCAAAATGAACCATATTTACTTTACTACACTCATCTGAAAGATTTCTTAATGAAGTCATTGCCTTCAGGTACTCTGCTTTAACACTGAATGTATTGCAATAGTGAATATATCATACAAGATGAAAACCATTTATCTGTGTATTAGTATTTAATAATAACTTATTGAATATTTTTAGTATATTGAAAATGAGTGCATTTTATATGTAATTTCATATCTTAATGTAAAATGCATCACAGGTACTATTTTCTAAGACATAAAAGGAGTCTTACTAAGCTTAACATGTAGGACCATATGGCTGTGGCACTTAAGTGGCCCTCCCTGATTTAATTTCCATAAGAATTACCTGAGGGGAAGGAAGGAAAAAACAATCTTTAGTTTAGTTTCACAATATGAACCTTAATATAAACTTTTCATCAATGTGATACATTTTCATACTACTACTTTGAAGGATTTTTTTTGTCCCTCAGTTAAGCGCTTTTATCCTGTGCTTGATTTTACCCTTATGTCTGTCTGAATTTCTAATGCTTGCTTGTTAGAATAAGTGCCTAATTCTGAGTTAGCCTGCCATAAATCCCTGAAATATACTCATTAGATCCATTTCCTGTTAACATGTTTCTGCTTTGTAATTTCTCCTGTTTATAACCTTTTTTCAAAAGCATCTTGTTTTTCCAGTATCTTGCTGGAATCAAGATCCTTGCATGAAATGCAACTTGATTTTTGTTTATTTATAGCAGACCAAGCTCATTTCTAGCTGCTTTACACTGTAATTAAATGTCTTACTTTCAATGTCAAAGCTTTAAAAAAAAATCTTTGTATTATTACTTGTAAGAAAAATATTTCATCATTCCAATTGAGTCTTATTTTTGTAGCTCTTAGGTGAAAACAGAAACCAAAAACCTGCAGTTGTCCTAAAAGCATTTTCTTGTGGATTTACAGATACTGTCTTATGTTCTTCCTCTCACCCATCCCCCCATGCTGATTGTCCTTGTACAGGTAGGAAAATGTCAAACCACCTCTGGATAACTGGTATAGAATCAAGGTTCGAAGCTTCTTCAGCCTGCTGAGATCCCTCAAAATGTTTTAATGTTAGTTGGAACACTTCAATGTCAAAGAGCAAGTTTTAGCCTACTTGTGGTGGGGTTTGCTTTCTTAGGCAGTTCTTTGCTGACTCTACACCATAGTCCATTGGCATCTGGGATGCACAGACTGGAAAACAATGACTTGGGCAGCTCATTACGTATATAATGCCAGCACTTCTTTTTTTTCCCAGATAAACACCATTTCTGCCTCAAAGAATGCTCAGATGCGAGTAAGGTAGCTAAGGCCTGTGATGTCTTTAACTCGGGCTGTTCTTACGCAGCAACATGGGCTCTGCAGGGAAATGCAGTGCCCAGTTGCAAGTACAATAGGCTTGAAGTGTAACATTGTACCGACTTACTGTTAGTCTCATTTCTAGTGGCTTGAAATGGCTGGGAGGAAGGGTGATGAAAAGAGGTTGGCACCTTAAAAAGCAAGTGATTTGAGGTCTGCTTTGGTTTACTAAAATCTTAATCTCATTTGTACTAAAATTAGTTTGAGTGTGGGTCAGCTGAGGTTTGCCTTCATGAGGGTGTTGCTTCTACATCTGTTTCCTTAATCTAGCGATACCTTTAATACTTTGGAATAGTAGCTGGATTTTGTATTTCATTTTTTTCACAGTGCTTTGTACTGAATGCATCAAGAGCAACCCACAGGTTTACTCTTACAGTGTTGAAATGTGAAAGGAAATGCCAGAAAAGTAGAGATTTTAGTATGATAGCCTTTGTTGTGAGTGACTAATTTCTTACTCATGTCTTTATTAATATCTTTTGTGGTTCTTCTCTGAAGTTCTTTCTGTGTTTTTCCTCCATACTACCATCTTCTTACTCTGTTCAAGATCAATGTGACTGTAGTATTGCCTACAGCTGCTGAGTATGATTAAAATATGTTCTTTACTGTGAATTGAAGGATGGAAGTTGTTCTGGGTTCAGCTGTGGCAGTTTTTTTTCTCCTTCCTAATGGCTGGTGCAGTGCTGGGCTTAAACCACAACAGAAGTAAAGAAGAATCTGGGTGTACAACTCTTTGAGCTCTTAGGGTATAACTACACTTTCAGTTTTTACATGGGCATGAAGCCCATCTGTCAAATACAGATTCAACAAGGGTTTTTTTAGAACTGTTGCTTAAAAGATCCGTGGTAGTTGATTTTTGTGGTAAACAGTAGGAAGGAAGAATTTTTGAAGTTTTATTTATATCAACAAAGAAGGGAACTGCTGTGAAGTCCTTTTCCTCTTGTTAGAATCAGTTGTGTGAAGGAGGTGCAAAGTGTACTTTCCACAGAGCAATACCTGTATTTGATCCAGTAGAGGTTATATTATTTGATCGCTGCTAGAATTATCTTTATCAGGGTAGTACAGTAGGTCTATCGCGTGCATCTGGGCAGGTCTCCCTGTGTGGAGCCGTGTCATTCATGACCTCATATTGTTGCTTGTCTGTCTTGGATTCTTCTACTCTGTTACCATCTTGCCACTGTGTTACTGAGGGCATGTTGGTACAGTAAAATCTCATGTGGTCCCTTCCTCCTGTCAAGAGCTCTGCTTCTGCACTTTTTTTGTAGCAGAGAGAAGGAAAAGTCTCCCAGCTTCCAGATTTTCTAAATCAGGCTGTCCTGCTCCTGTGGAGACAGAAGAGAAGCAGCATTTGAATGTTTAGTGAGCAGCAAGGGGAGAGGTGGCAACAGGGATGGCTTCAAAGACAGCTTGGGTGAAGAAGCACTGCAGCAATATGTGTAACAGCAGAGCATAAAGGCTATTCTTCACAGTGGAGTTAAGGGTGTAAGGAGATGGATGATGGGCTTTAGTACAGTCACTTTGTTTGCATGACAGATGAAGGAATACATAGGGACATACCCACAAAAACTATTACCTGTGTAAAGCAAGAGACAAATTTCATTGCATAGATGACTACAAAACAAATGGAAATTTGATTAGGTCTTCAAGTATTGTTTACAAATAATGACTGTACATAGAGTCAAAAGGTGAGAATCAAAAATAACTCAAACTTATCACCTTGAAAATAAGATACATAATATTTATCGTTCTCTTAGATGTAAGAAATCAAGATTTGAATATGTATTAAATTATATAATTGCTAAACAAATTTATGTCGATATATTACATTCTCTCAGCAAAAAGTATAACAGCTCTATTTAATTCCAAATCGGTATGTTTAGGTGGTTATTTTAGTTAAAGACCTAGCTACAGGAAAAAATGGAAAACAAGATTAAATAAATTATCAAAATACTCTTCTCTTTTTACT